GCCATCCTGCTAGCAGCGGACGAAGATGTCGCAACCTCCGAACATCCGCATGAGAGGATCTGCCATTCAGGGAACCTATTTCCGTTAGGATGGAATTTAAGGAAGGATCTGGGAACAGTCCGTCTGACAAGAGAGAGAGAAGGATATGAACGACCGTGTGTGCATAGCACAGTTGATGCGGATTATGATAAGCTAGACGCCAGGCAGCGTCTTGCATGGAAGCTGTGGGAGGTGCAGTGGTTGAACGACCCGAGACGCGTGCAGTGTATGTCAGCAAAGTAGCTCGGCTGCTGGAGGAAGCCTCCTGGGAGGAAGCCTCCCTGCCTCTCACCTGGCTAATTGGAGGATCTGCACTAAAGAGATCTGGCAGTTCCATAGGATTGGCACAAGCTGCACTCATGGCGTATGTCTGAAGCAGAACCACACATTGCTCTGCATGGCGTACTGGAGCATCTACCACAATGCGACAGTACCTACATTCTTCTTTTTTGTGCAGGAGGCGCTTATGTGTTCGCATGTTGGCAAGAATGGATGCCGAGGATTGTGCCCAGAAAGCAGGATGAGCTTTCTGAATGTGCTGTTTCACTCCTTTGTGGCCAACAATGTATTGCCCACAGAGACTGCAGTTCGTTAATAGATGCTGAGTGACATGTCTCTTTTTTAGTAGAAGATCAGGATCCTTCTTAAGTTGTTCCTGCACGCTAGACTGATAGATCATAGCTATGCTTTCTGAGCTTGTACAGGATTTGGCTCGTTCTTTCAGCTCGTGCAGCTGAGGGCAAATGCCTGACTCCACATGTCTGCGAAGTTGATGCATTGTGCGCAACTGCCTGTTGCATGCCGCACATTGCGGAAGTCCTTTGCAGCTATGCACAGTGACCTGAAATTTTGGGCCTAGCTGATTCGCACGCTGTCCTCCATGCTTCACCAGAGTATGTTGCTGAAGACCCTTAGCGCTGGAGAATTTCCGATCGCACAGAGAGCACGGTACCGCCTGATCTGCCTCGGTCAAGTCTAAATGCATGCTCTGAAGCTCCAGTTGCAGCGCAACAATCCTACCTCTAAGTCCCAGATGCCACTGTATGTTCTGATCCGGGTTGGACTTCTGACAGGCATCTAGTGCGTCTTGATAGTTTTTCATCTGGCTGATCAAAACTGCTTGAGGAGACTGAACCTTGTATTGCTCGAACAGAGTCTTCGTGTCAATATGGCTGTAGTGCTGATGTTGCTTAAAGATGGATCTTAGCATCCTAGAGTATTTACTCTGAAGCTTCTGAAGACCTGATGAGGTGACGCCAGTGGCCACAAGCCCATGCAAGAGTGAGGATTCCACATAGACCCTCCAGATCTCCAACTTCTTTGAAGCCTCCAAGGCCTTAGTGGAGCACAGGATGTGTCGAAGTAGCTCAAACTTGCCTTGAGCTTGGGCGATCCTATAGTCAACAGTCTGGTCTTTGTAGGATCCATAGCTGAGCTGCACCCCTAGATATGTTAGTTTGTGATGAATCGGAATCTTATGTCCTGAGGGAAGGACGATGTGCAACTGCTTCTCTTTGCGCATCGTGTGCTTCTTGCGAAAGATGGACTGCTGAGTGCCCTGAACCATTAGCAAGGCTTTGGACTTCGCTGGATTGACTTCCAGCCCCACGTCCTCAAGAGACTGAAAGAGAGCCTCTATTCTGAGCAGGACTTTCTGAAGTTCAGGAAAGCTCGAGAAGGTTTCCTGGAGCAGGAAATCGTCTGCAAAGACCGTTAGGATTTCCCTAGCTTGCTTGCTATCTGGGCCCCATTTCTGCTCCATTCTGCTCATGACTAGAAGTGTCAGCGCAGGCCACAATGCCGGGGCTAGCTTACAACCTTGTTTGATTCCTGAAGAAGTGGGAACTTGAATCTCTAGTCCACCTGTGCCCATGTTGTAGGAGGTCTCACTGTGTAGTTGAACTACCAGTTCTTTCGTAACAGGGTCTGTTCCCAGGCGATCCAAGGCAGCTAGCAGCTCATGTCTATTAACAGAATCAAAAGCTTTGCTCAGATCAACCGAAATAGTGAGTGCCCCTGACAGCTGAGCCTGCCTAGCTCCGCGTTGGGACTTGTGCAGGTCCCTGCGATGCTCTTGACGGAGCTGCTGCGCGAAATCAAGGTGCTGACATGCTTTCGCGATAGCGTCCCGCACCCCCCTCTGCCGAATGTACGCAAATTGAGGCTGAAGCTGTGAGCTCACCTGCAATGCTGGTGCAATGCGAGTCTTCACTGCGCCTGCTAGCACTTTGCCTGGCACGCTGATGACTCCTATGGGCCTCAGGTTTTTCATGGCGGTGGCTGGCTTGCCCGGCTTGGGGATCCATGCAATTCGAGGGTCCTTTAGATAAGGGGAAATTTCTGATTGGGACACCTCAGAGTTGATTAGACCTGCTATGTGTTCGTGGGCGTCAGGACCTAGACTCTTCCAAGCTGATACTGGGGCTGAGGTGCTGGGGACTGCTTTCCCCACTGGCACTGTCTTGATTTGCGAGGATACCTGCAAGGCGGTGATCGCTGTTCTGGGCACAGCAGCAACTGAGTGCAAAGGAGGACTTTTGGAGAAGATTTGACTCGAGTATTCGCGCATAGTTTTTAGCGAGGCCTCCGTATCAAGCGGCTCACCTGCTTGATCCCTTAGGTTGACTCTCTGCACTGGGCGCCACGGAGCAAGTTTCCTGAGAGCATGAGCCAGTTTGTGGGATTGTTGCCTTTTATCTTCCTGGGCTTGTAGAAGCAACTGCTCTTGCTTCTCTAGCTTTCTTTGTTTTTGCTGTTTTTTGAAAGCCCGCGCCTCCTCTTTGATGTCCTCCACAAGCTTCTGGCAGTCTGGATTATGCTCGGTTCCAGCCCTCTTGTGCGCCTGGACTTGCCGCACTTTCTTCCAATATTCCTGATGAATTGGACCTGCTGCTGGCTGAGACTTGCGTGGAGGAGGATAGTGCTCAGCTGATACACGAACCATCACTTCATCCAGTTCTTGCCAAGACGGTCTCTCTTGCATTGTCCTCACCACTGATTCCGTCAGACGATGTGAGTATGCATGCCAGTTGTCATCTTTTCGCCGAAAGCTCGCATCCAGGGCTGTGGCATCAAACGGCCGTGGCTTGCTGGGTGTAGGACTGTAAGGAGGAATGAACAGAGTAGCTCGCACTGGAAAATGTTTTGATCCATCTCTGTAGGCAGCCACAGGAAAGTTCTTATCAGAGTAGGCCTCCTTGGATCTCCTCCGAGCATCGTGCAGTCTGACCAGCATAAAATCGATCTGAGAGGAATATGTGCCATCACTGTTAGTATACGTACTGCGATGGCCAGAAGCCCATGTGTTCAGCGCAGTGAGTCCACAGGATTTGCAGAGCGAGGGCAGTGTCTTCACATCCGCATTTGCAAACCGTACTCGATGAGGCACACTTGGTCCGATATGAGGACGTTCAGTCACCGCATGCGCATTGAAATCCCCAGCCACAATCAAGAAATCACGTTGTGGGACTCTCTGTATTCGATTTTCGAGCTGTGTCACCACGTCCTTTCTCCTGCCTCTGTTTTCCGTCTTCGAGAGCTTTGAATCCCAGACGTGCTGGTACAGGTTCAGGAGATGTACTCTGGATCTCTGCCACGGGATCATGACGTGCTGCAAATGCCCTGGAACAATGGAAGTGCTGCGAATTTCTGAAAGAGGAGCCAGTGAGCTATGCACCAAGACAACCAGGCCAGCCTTGTGTCTGCTTGTTGAGCCACAGGTTAGGACTGACCACGGGCCTGAGCTGTAGACCTGGTCCTGCTGCCAATGCGATTCCTGCAGGAAAACGATTTTGATGTTCTTGTACTCTGTTGTTGCCAAAAGGGCCAGAATCTCGTTCCAAACTCGACTTGTAATTGAGCCTGCGTTCCAAGTAAGGACTTCCATGTCAAATTTGTGATGGATCTGTCTGTTCGGTTGAAAAGAACGCCTCTCCGCTTTCGCAGGAGACGCGAATTGTCCTTCATGAGCTCCTAGAGCCTGAGCTGTCAGAAGACGGCCTTTGTAAAGTGCTGCTCCCTTCGCCAGGGCAACTTTACAAGCTCTTTGGTAGCTTCGCTTGCCGGTTTTGTTCATGGTTAGCTGACTTCGCTGCGCATGCTGCTCAGCTTCATCGGGGGGCGCTACTTCCCGAAACCCTCGATTCTGATCCATGGCTGGACCCTGGGACTTGGGACCCAGGCACCCAAGAAAGCTCGCTACGGCTACGAGAAATAAAATCCTCATCTTGGGCCAGAATCTTACAACAACAACAACAACAACAACAACAACAACAACAACAACAACAACAACAACAACAACAACAACAACAACAACAACAACAACAACAACAACAACAACAACAACAACAACAACAACAACAACACAACAACTACAGCAACAGCAAAAGCAACGGCAAAAGCAACGGCAACAGAAACAACAGCAACAACAGCAACAACAGCAACAACAGCAACAACAGCAACAACAGCAACAACAGCAACAGCAGCAACAGCAGCAACAGCAGCAACAACAGCAACAGCAGCAACAGCAGCAACAGCAGCAACAACAGCAACAACAGCAACAACAGCAACAACAGCAACAACAGCAACAACAGCAACAAGAGCAGCAGCAAGAACAACAAGAACACAAATAACAGCAACAGACACAACGACAACAACAGCAAAAACAGAAACAACAAAAGCAACACCCCACCACACCTACCAGCACCGCCACTACCACCACCACCGCCACCGCCAACAATCACCAGCCAACACACAACACGCAACCAACAATGAACGGTGAACGACAAGCAACGAATAAAACATCATGCAACAAAGAACAAACCAACCAACACCCCACGACCAACAACATCCAACAAACCAACAAAGAGCGACCAACAACGAAAAACGAACAACAAACCACGAGCAGCAAAGACAAATACAAAGAAGAATATACAAAGAAGAATACGATCAAGAAACCTGGCCTGAACCCGGTGCTTGAGCGCCCACTTGGGCACTGTAACCTTGTCGTTGTCGCTGTCCGGCCCTTGGTATCGCATCTTGAAGACCTCACCACCGCCCACTTCGCACATGTCCACGACCAGGTTGTGGACACCCATCTCCAGCAACCTCTCGTTGCTTGACATCTCTTGATCGCCGTGGCAGCCGTTGTTGTCCACGATCTTCTGGCCGTTCAGGTACAGGACAGATCCTGTCGAGTCCGAGCAGATGAAATGCCCTAAACCCTGGGCCCTAAACAGCAACTACCCTTGCTCCGGGCTCCGTCGTCCGAGCTCAAGAAGAACTTGTAGTTGCCCGATCTTCTCGTGATCAGGTGACCTGTGCACCTGCACTGCTCCACCCTTACAGCATGCAACTTACAGCTGTACCACCAAACAGCAAGATGGTTCAGAAACTAAGGGCCAAGCTCGGGTGGACATGCACAGAATCAAACGGACTTCTGGATCTAAATGAACGTGCCACAGCATTCGGTGAAATTCCTATGATCTGAATCGAACAAACCCTTGGAGCAAACGATGTTGGGCCTCTGGATGCTGTTCTTTGTCCTAGCTGTCACCGTCCTATGTTTCTGTTATGCGTGGACCGTCCTTGGATGGGGACCACTAAGCCGCACGGTGGTCCGTTCTGCAGGGAGAAAGCAAGCCTCGTTTTACCGACAGTCTTGCACTTGTGCATTGTCTGCCAGCCTCCCACAGCGCTCCGGAATCGCAGTCAAGTGATGGCGGTGCTACTCACCAGTTCGAAGTCCGAATCGCAGCAAGACCCACAAGAATCCATCGACAGGCAAACCGCAGGGAAATAGCCAATAAGCAAACGACGACGGCAGCAAACATAGTGCACCAACGACAGCAATGAAAACAATCGCACATGCCCCCTGCCTGATGCAGAAATTGTCGGGCTGCTTCACTCCGGGAAATTGCCCGTGCTCCTGAGCAACAGGCTGAAACTGTCAAAGCGACACCAACTTGTTGTCTTCAAAGCCCTTGCCCGTCCATGAAGATCTCCGGCAAGATCATTCTCTGGGAAGATGTCCTTGCAGTGACATGTTGGACATACATGAATCTGGTGGCAAGTCACGACTTCTCGTCCGGATGCGCAAGATACGCAGCCTGCAATCTCACGGCTCCCTGCACCCTGCAGTCCCCCAGTTGTGTTTGCAGTCTTACGTTCCTGTGCCTGCCTGCGTTCCTATGAGCCCTGGCGCCTGCATTCCTGCGGTCCTGAGCCTTCGGAGCCTTGACACCCCCCCCCCCCCCCCCCCCCCAAAAAAAAGTGACTTAAAAAGCAGGCAGGATTTCAGGCGAATGAGCTCCAGGTGACTTATATGCTTTTCCTAACAATACTAATCCTTCGTCATGTATTGCCGCCGCGGATCAAGGCCGACAGATCCGAGATGTGGCACTGCGCCTGGTTGTAGAAGTACTCGCAGTCCAAGCCTTCCTCGAGATCCGCCTGCACTGAGGGATGAATGCCCACTGAACACCCACAACTCGGTCGAGCTCCTTTCTGAGCCCTGCCTCAGCCTCCAAAGTAGTGCTTGTGGTGGTGGATGTTGTAGTCGTCGTGGTGGTGCTGGTCTCCTGAGCATGCTTTCAGGTCTCTTGTCTGATGGCCCGTTCTTCAGCCAGGAGCTTGATCCTTCCATGCCTCCTGAACTGGACTTTCTCCGCTCGCCTATCCAGTCCTAGTCCATGAGGCTCCGACTGTGGTGGTTGTGGTCGATGTTGACGTGGATGACGTGACCGTGCTCGTGGTCGTGCTTGTCGACGTGCTTGTCGATGTTGTTGAGGTCGAGGTTGTTGAGGTCGATGTTGTTGTGGTCGATGTTGACGTTGTGGTCGATGTTATTGTGCTGGTGGTCTTAGCATTCCGGCCCAGGCGCCCACTGGTGCAACGCCGGATTCACATCCCCGAATCGCTACATTCTAGCTGCATTCACAATCGCCAACTGCTGGATATGGGTCGATATGGGTTCAAGAACCCCAGATTTGCAGTGATTTTCCTTGCGGCCATGTTTGAGTCGTGACTCCGCCCTAAACCCGGTAAGGCCCAAACCTCAGGGACAGCAGCTGTGGTGGCGTACGGGTGAAATCTGTAACTACGAGAAGCTGATACCATGGCTTCTCCATGTGTGGAGTGATGTTAAGGATGCAGGGCCGAATTCAAGTCGCAGGTGATCTCGGGCTGTGTCATGGTCAGTCTGCTGCACATTCTGCCGCCAGGAACGTTATCCTTCCGTGCCTCCTAAACTGGACTTTGTCCACTACCTTTACCATGCAGACCTTGAGGCTCCGACTGTGGAGGTTGTGGTCGATGTGCTTGTGGTCGTTGTGGTCGTCGATGTCGACGTCGTTGTTGTCGTCGTGCTTGTCGACGTGGTGGTCGATGTTGATGTGCTTGTCGTTGTGGTTGTGGTCGATGTTGTGGTGGTGGTAGTCTGAGCATTCCGAGCGCAAGGCTCCACTAGGATCCCCCGAATCGCTTTCTATTAAAGCGCCTTCATGTGAAACCTTGCACTACGAGACACTGCTCCAACGGCTTCTGTATGTGTGTGTGAGGATTGATCCAGTTATAGAAAATTCAGGACAAGTTCGGGTCGCTAGTGATTTCGGGTTGAGGCTCGTATCACCTTGCATCGCTTGTCCCTATCAGTAGATAGCACTTTGATGGGGTGGAACAGGGACGCCGGCAAGAGAGAAAGAGAGAGAGAGAGAGAGAAAAAAAAAAACAAATAGAAAGAGAAAGAGGGATAGAGGCAGAGAGAGAGGGAGAGAGAGAGCGAGAGAGACGGATAGACAAAGAGAAAGAAACAGAGAGAGAGGGAGTGCGGGAGGGAGAGAGACACACGGAGAGAGAGAGAGAGAGAGAGCGAGAGCGAAAGAGAGAGAGAGAGAGGCAGGGAGGGAGCGAGGGAGGGAGGGAGGGAGAGAGAGAGAGAGAGAAAGAGAGGGAGAGAGACAGAGAGAGAGAGAGAGACAGAGAGAGAGAAAGGTAAAGAAAAGAAACAAAGACAGGCAGAGAGAGGGAGGGAGCGAGGGGGAGAGAGAGAGACAGAGCAAGAAAGAAAGAGAAAGAAACAGAGACAGGCAGGGAGGGAGGAAGGGAGGGAGGAAGGGAGGAGAGAGTGAGAAAGAGAAAGCAACAGAGACATTCAGGGATGGGAGGGGAAACAGAGACATGCAGGGAGGAGAGGAAGCGCACAGAGCCTATGTGCAAGCACTCTCATTCTCGTTCAAGCTTGGCGGCTGTCTGGCACGGGGCGCCCATGGTCCTTAGAAGGAAAGTTCTGGAGCCCTTAAGCACCTCGGGGTTTGCGCGCGCCATAAACCTCTGAAACCCCTAGAACCACAAGCCGAGTCCCTGCTCGGTTTATGCAAGGCCCTCAACCCCGAACCTTGAGCAGGTCCAATATACTCCTGTTACGAGCAGCGACCCTCCATGATCATTTTTTTTGAGCTGACTCTTCGAGATGTGGGAAATGCTTGCATGTTTTGCCGTTTGTTAGCATCGACAGGCGCTCCGGGATTTTGCTCTTGGCCCTGTGAACATGGAATGACAGGTGAAAACGTGCGCACCAAACCTACATACTAGTACAAATCATGCACGAATATGGTCATTTTTCAGAGAACTTGCTTGTGTTCATTCTCGCAGCCTAGCATGATAGGGCTTAGGGTAAGCTCTTCGAAAAGCTGGGCGGCTTGGCCAAAAATCTCGCCTTTGAAAATGCTCGTAGCAAGCCAAGGGTCGAGCATCTTCCATCCAGCCAGGCGCACTGCATCGAGCGCGCCTCGGTGCTTGGGAATTTCCCCTGCACTCAAGCCACTACTGTATAGCTCCTCGACCTACAATATGCCACATAGCCAAAGCTTCCGAGCAAATAGCCTACCGGACCATAACGACTCGACAGTCATGCCTGCATACTGAAAGTGCAGCGGGTCTGGGATCAGTTGGGTCGTGGACAGACATACGAACAGAAAGTAGCTCGTACAGTACAAAGATCAGACGACAAGCAGAAAATGTAGGCATGCTAGCCATGGAGCTCCGATTCTCACGAAGTAGCTGCTGCAGTCTGCCTCCTGCAGTTTTGACTTGAGTCACTCAGGCTCACATATCCTACTAGACGGTCCCTCAGAACCGGTATCCCTCGACCGGGCTTTCGTCGGTTCACTTCCACAGGCCCGCCATCCTGCTTCTTCATTAAGAGGGTCCGCGCAAGGACAAACTTGCTGATAGTGACTATGATACCAGCACTTGTGTGCTATGCTATATAGCAGAGCCTTAACAGTTAAAGGGCATCGAATCGTCAAGAACGCTTCCAGGCACAACCTTGGTCTGTAGAGCAAGCAATGTGGAGGGAATACCAATCCCACCCGACAATATGTGAAGGACTCTTGTGAGAGCATGACGTTTCGAGTCAGAAAGACAGCCGGACGACTGCGCGATGGCGAGGCTGCAGCAGGATTTATATATATGCCTCAGAGAAAAGTGATGCCCCACCTACAAAAGCAGATCGTACTCCAACTTTGCATCCCGCAGAATACATAACAGCTGCTGCATCCGTTGAACCATCTGGCTTCTCTGAGTCAGAACAAGCACAGCTGCCGGTATCACTGTCGTCGTGATGTTCCGTAGTTATTTCTCAGAAGCTGGCATCATCCCCGTGACATGATACCCAACAAGTGAGGCCTGCAGATGGGAGCACGCGCTGCTGCCCTCCATAAGGGCGCCCTGCGCATGTCGGGAAACGAGTCACTGCCTTGACCGCCATGTCCCCAAAGCGATTTCTGGAGCTGTTGTGTATGAGATGTGGGGACTTCGGGGACACCCTGCTTGCAGTGTTTGCCGACTTTCGGAGTATACGAAAGATCGATTGGCATGGATTCGGAGTGTGCAACAACATACTTAAGTTCATCTGTCTATAGCCTGTACCAGTCGAAAACTTCAGCGTGACTGTCTCACTGTCTCCGGCTGATAGAAACTACAATGCTACTTCGAGGATTCCTTATCACCACCTCGCCCAGTGGCTGAAGCCCTGACCGAAAAGAGAGAGAGAGAGAGAGAGAGAGAGAGAGAGAGAGAGCAGTCGGATGGCAAGGCCTGGCAGTCGCGGAGGACCTGCTCCTGCTCCTCGGCAGGCCGCTCTTTCCGCGTGACACCGGAGCCGACGGGCGGGGAGTTGACCTCGAAGGACCACTCGTCTTCCTTGGCCTTTGGGGCCGGATCTTTCACGGTCACGGCCTTGGATGTTCGCCGCACCTTGTCGACATCCGCGTAGCTGAAGTCGTACAAGGCGGCGATGGCGCGGACCCTGCTCTCTTCGGAGATGATCGTATTCGGAACGCCTGCCAGAATTGCGGCGAACTGATCCGCGAAGTTGAACAAGTGGACTTTCATCTGTGGGCTTTGGTAGTGGCCGAAACCCATCTGCAAGCCAAGATAAAGGTCATTGCCCGTCAAGAGGCCTTGAATGTCGAAGTTCACCTGGCCCGGGTTCTTGAAGCCGAACAGCTTGAAAGTTTCCTCCTGCTCCTCGCGAAGGAGGGAACTCATGCGTTCTCCGGCCGAAGGCCCTCGCGCTTCAGAGGTCTTGTTGACGCCTAGGTCCTTATCGATCTCCACCGAAGCCAGATAGAGGTCGTCCTCCTCTGCCTTCCAGTACAAGGATTCCTTCAGCTTAGCCTTTGCCTGCGCCCTGCTGTGGTTGCCCTGCAGTAGTGATGTCTTTGCCCTGGACATGTATTCCATGGCATTTCCACTTTCTCCTTCTGCCGATCCCACACCGAAGAAGCTTTCCGAGGTTTCATGGCCCCCGTGGATATTCTCAGCCGTAAAGTGTGTGTCGCTGCCAAACCGCTTCGTCAAGCGAAGCGTCCGGCTAAACAGCATGACTCCATTCACGGACCGGATCTCGGAGCGCAGCACACTGAGGTCAAGCCCGCCCGGCTGGTATCTCGGCCAGCACACCTCACGGCTCATAGGTCGGCTTCCCTAGACCGAAAAGCTCCTGTCTGCTCTCTGACACATTCAGTAGTGATCATTTGTGCCCCCTGCCGCTCCCAACCTGACATGCCACCTACCCACGCCCGCACGTTTTTCGGAACCCTCTGCCCAATTACATGTGTGTCCCTTGCCAAGTCTCCCAGCACCTACGAGTACTCATGTTTGCCATCGGGATTCCCTCACAGTATCCGCAGCTACAGCTACATGTACAGTCTCGTTGGCCTTGGCACCTGCACGACTAGTCACAGCAAGACAATCCCAACATGACAAAGCGGAGCTGGAGCACTGCAATGAAAAGTATATAACAGCTTTAAAATGAAAAGGCAGAGCAATAACATTGGTCCGTTGATACGGATACTAGCGCAAACTGCGAGAGCAACTGCAACAGCAACAGCGGCAGCAATATGCAGCAATCATAAGTAATAGCGCTGTTCGGAACGAATATAACAGGAAACTCGTTCCCAAAGATTAGGTCGCCTGTCAAGGAGTCCAAGTATGCATGAGGCCCTGACTTGGGTGTCGATCTCTGCCAACGGACCCGGCAGCAAATTGAATGTGACACCGCCCACGAAGGCCACAACGGGCTGCATGCTCAGACTGAACGTCACTGTCAGACACGCCTCGATTGACGTGCCTACCGTGTAGAAGGAATACCCTTGCCACTTGTCCCATTTGTTCTTGAGCCACTCGGCTCCGCAAGGAACCGCCCAAGGCTCCAGCTTCACGAAGTCGTCCTCTGTGGCTGCCTGCCAATCCTGTTGAGTCGCTTGGTTATTGCGGCCGGTCTTGTTCCTGGGAGCGAAAGCCAGGCAGGATCCGGTCACGATCTCCCTGCCGTTGAACCTCGGATGCAAGGTTCCGGAGCCTCTTACTGTGCTCTTCTTACAGGATCGTTCGTCTGCTACCAGTAGCGATATGAGGAAACCTTCCAGATGGAGTTTGTTATATGTTGCGAGCTTCTGCAACAACAAGCCGACTACTCTGCAGACTTCAGAATGCGCCTTCAAATGGTTCCGCAAGCGATTGCTACCAGGTGCCGTGGTTTTCGACCTCCCTCTACATCATCGGGACTACATGTAACTACACTCACCAAAAAGCAATATCAACCCAATATGGTCATCAGAGGCTTAAACTCATTGTTGTTTAGATGTTGTGGGCACAGTAAACGTCACCTCTGAACAAAGCATCACCATCAACCTCTTTGTTTGTTTGCTTCGATGTTTGTGCGGCCTGGGCGGGCCCAGGCCCGGACACGCAGCTGTGGGTGGGGCTGGGGTGGGGTGGGGCCGTACGCCGAGCAGCTGTGTGACGAGCTCGTGGGTCTCAGGCCCGCCACCTGAAAATTTCCATGACACGGCGGCCGGCTCGTCGTCGTCTTGCTCGCCACCTTTTGCCTGGCAGCTGGGTACTGCAGGAATGACTACTGAAACAACTGGGACCTTGCGCCTTTTGCATATTTTTCACTGTAGAATGGAGCCTCCAGGCTGGCCATTTCTTGCAGCAGCTGGGCGTGTTTGCGTGGCATCTTCTGCGAGTGCTTCGTGATGACAAGGTTTTCACCTGCACAGCTTGGCTGGAACACTTCTTGCGCGGGTGGCGCATGCCAGTGACAAGGTCAGCATCGATTTAAAGCCGGCTCGGCTAGCTCTCAGGCCTCACCGTTACCGGAGCATCCAGAATTGGAAACTCAAGATCCTCCGTCTAAGGCGCTACAGCATAGTCCCAGCACAAATCTCAATCCGGTTGCCAACTTCTTGGGGTTTACACTGTGCTGCCGTCACACCGACAGCTTGCTCGGGCCTTTGTGGTGCACCACGGGGTGAGCACCGGCAGCGGGGAACTCCGTGGTGGCCGCCGTCTGCAGGAAGGATTCCCCGCCCTTGATCGCTTGAGTCGCCAACTTGGAGGCTACCATGGCAAAGGACGCGATGAACTCCTCGAAGATGTCGCCCAAATGGTTCAAGAAGTTCAGGGGAGGGACACTTCCGATGATCTTGTAGCCCAGGCACTGGACCACGTCACCTTCGGCTGCTGCCTCGGAGCACTGCATCAACTCCGTGCCCATCTTGACCATGTTCGCCACAGAATTCGGATGGCTGCTTCCGAGAAGTTGCATATGCGCGGGCAGAAGGCTCAAGATCTGGCCATGGGCAACTCTCTGCACTAAGTGAGGCAAGAGACTCAAGATCTGGCCATTGGCAAGCTGTTTCACCGGGTTCGGCAAGAGATTCAAGATCTGGCCATTGACGAGCTGTTTCACCGGGTCCGGCAGGAGGCTCAAGATCTGGCCATTGACAAGCTTATTCACCTGGTCCGGCAAGAGGCTCAAGATCTCGCCGTTGGCAAGCTTGTTCACACGGTCGTTCAAGAGCCTCATGATCTCGCCGTTGGCAAGCTTGTTCACACGGTCCCCCAACAGATGAAAGATATGGCCATTCGCCACGGTCTTTATGGGGTCTGGCATCCAGTGCAGCGGCGGCGCGAGGGCATGGACCCAGCGGCCAAGACATTGGATCAATTGATGGTGGTGGCCCCGGTGGGGGCAATGCATCAACTCCCATCCGACGCTGAACACTGTCCGGACAGCTTCGTGATGTGAAGAAGCAACTGTTCTCACAGTCTGAGGCATCAAGTCCAGAACTTTTCCCTGCGCCACCATCGCCATTTTGTGAGGCCACCAGACATTTCTGTTGCCAAAGTTGAAATCGAACAACGTGGCCTTCTGCCCCAGCAACGAAATTTCGCAACGAACGTGGCCAAACCCCACATGGAGTCCGAAGTCGTCTGGGTTCCAAAAAATCAAGCACAGATTCAAGTCTATAAACGGAAATTTAGCATTCCCCTCCGACAATCCCACAAAACCCTATCTAAGACCCCATCAGAGCATGATCAGCAAGTCGCTTATTGCCATCCACGGCTTGTTTGATATAGGGCACCATGCACGCCAATCCGTGAAGCCGCGGATGAGGATGGCCATTGCTTTTTGCACAGTGTCGATGGTGGTCCGAGCCACGAAGCCGATCTGGACAAGTGGGAAGAATTGCTGAAGGACATTTTTGGCTGCATCGTGTTCCCGGTTCCATCTCGGAGGTGTCTTCAGTCTGGTGTTGTGAACTTGCTTTGCACTTGTTTTTCCGTGCATGTTGCTTGCCTTGGTTTTGGTGTTTGCTCTCCGGATATTGATATGGCATGCCCCGTCGGCTTTTGTCCTTGTCCCAATGGACCTCACGCGTAGGTCTTCAAGTCAGGTATCGACGGACACTACTCTTCTGTTGCTTTTGCAGACGATGTAAAAGTCAAAGACACATTGCCGTCCGATGACAATCGACGACCAACATGAATACCATGCTTTGTCTTCACCACGGCAGGTTGTCGGATTGATTTTCACTGATGATCAGTATATATATATATATATATATATATATATCTCTCTCTCTCTCTCCTTCAGTGTCGGGTGTGTCGGTATCACGGTCGGCAGACTCTGCACGCGACCTCCTCGCCTTGTCCGTGGCTTTCTCGTAGGCATCTCCAAGTTTTCCGAGGTGGCCGGTCAGGAACTCTGAGGCATCACCTGGCCAAGCCGGGCACAGAGGGGAAAAGGGTTTCCCAAAGATCAGGCGGAGCGGGGAGTTTCGGGCTTCGGGAGGTCATGCTCTCATCAAACCAAAGAAGCAGTTCTGAAAGCAAACAGGCCAACAAGCTCAGGAAACAGCCAGAGAGAGAGGGAGCAGACCAATAGTAACCAGGTCGTCTCAGGTCTCTCGCCTTGCTGACCACAACGCCTTCCAAAACAACGAAGTTTACTAAGACACAGAGCCTGATCGGCTCGCAACCCTTCCTAAACCCTTAGTTTTGACATCCTAGCTCCTGGGAGAAGTCGACACCTAAATGCCAACACGGCAGATGCCAACAAGGCAGAAACACAATCGAGTAGTCAAAACTGTGGTTGACAATCCGGTTTGAGCACGTTACTCTGTTACAGTTGATCTTGAGTCATGAACACTCTGCTTTGGTACCGGCTGCCTTTGAGGCTACGAACGGACATTCCTTTGCTTGGTATCCTTCTTTGGCAGCTGGAGAATCTGCAACCCATTGGGGCATGCATGAATACAGGTAAAGTTCAGCTCCGAAAAACTCTGAAAGTTACAACCTGCTCAGCCTTCACGGCAGTGTTGGGACCAGCTCTCACAAGTGATGAAGACTTGAAAAAGCATCCGGCAAGTCTAGCTGCAATGGAGTTCTTGAAGCATCAGGAAGCAGAGCTGTGTACTGTTAAGGGCTTGCCGACGGAATATGGAACACAGGATAGATACTTTGTTCCATTTTCAAAACCGGTCAGTTGTAATGTGGATTGGTCACTTGGAATATGTACATTTGCAAAATGAATGTGAATAATCAAACAAATGAATAGAAGCAAGTGCATGAAGAAGTATGCCTCGGGCGAGGATACCTCAACCATGCAATCACAAAGCATCTATGTAATAAAGTTCCAAATGCAAAAAACAGACAACGACCTGTGACGCCGACTCCGAATTCGTGAAGAAGCCGCATTGCTTCAGGTCCTTTAGGCGACGCCGAATTACGCCGCCGCCTTGTCTGACACAGAATTATATCCTGACGCAGAAGTGGGTCGTGACGCCTAGATTGCCCGCATTTGGTCGTGACGCCAAATTGTGACGCAGCATTGGGTGGTGACGCCGAATTGCTGACGCCGCATTCCTAAGAGCTTGGATTGGTTGTAAGTGAGCGTAAAAACTAGAAAATTGGCTATGTTTGGGTCTATGTTTTGTAATCTTTACTTTCAGTTAGGGGACGTAATGGCTACTTATAAAATTCTGTCGGGTGGACTTGTGCAACTTGTGTTCTACATTACCTACGATCACCAACAAAGATGAAACCAGTGTTCATACCCCCCGATCTTGGTCTCGAAGCAATGTTTTCTTAGTACAGACATGTACAGACAGCGAGCACGATCTTCGACCAAAAACTCGACGCCGTTTTTGCTTTCAGGAGGCTTCGGTTGATACATATATATATATATATATATACATATATGTGTGTGTATCTATATATCTATTATTTTGTTATTATTCTGACAACGACAACAAAAATAATATGTGTATAAATATATATATATATATATATGTATACGGTGCTGCAGCTGCTGGTCCTGCACCGCCAACCAAAACCAGGGGACCTCGTGACCTGGTGTGGGGTAACTTGTTGTCTCCGAGTGGGGACGTATGGTTTATTATAGTGCAGCCCACAGCCTCAAAAAGACAGACTTACTAAGAATTTGGATTGCTTGTAAGTGACTTGCATCGCATCGCAGAGCGTCCGCTGCGGATATAAGTACACCACCACAGTTGGAATACTAGTACCAATCGGAGTTTAAAACATACGGTTTCGCATACAAGAAAACGCAAACCAGCACTTGGCATACTGTCAAAAACATGTGATTCCGAAAACAGATTTCGCATTCCATGTGCGAGCCCCGTGAGAGTAGGGCTGGTGTTGCAGCCGAGCAGCCTATAAATCCTGGAATGATCTTGGATGACACCGAGTCGTCCATGTGGTCCTGGATAGGAGGAAAGATATGTAAACAACCAGGGCCAGCTGTAAATCCCGGCTAGAGCGGCATGGCCGCGTGGAAACACAGAGACGTGGGTAGGTGGTGCGATCTATCGCCAAATATTAATCTCAGTTCGCACCACCCTTGTCATCGTGATCCCCAAGTGGATTTTCACCTAAGACGTCATCATCATTGTCATCTGAGCAGCAAGATGTAACCATCTCTGATGATAGAAAACACAGAAGCCCACGGGAATGTCGTGCCATGTCTAAGGAAGAGACATCCAAATCCGACTCTGCCGGGCGAGGAAGGCACGCTGCTCCAGCTGTCTGAACAAAAACATGTGCTATGTCTGTGAGACGAGGAGGCCCCACCGGATCGCAAGTTTGAAGTGCAGCATTTGTACGACCACATGACACCCATGCAGTGATCACCCCATCAAGGGCTGCTACTGTTTCGGGTTGTCTATCTCACACCTGACTATAAGAGTGGAGACAAAGGCCAGGCCAGCAGAATTGTGGGACACTTCGGGGCAAAACACGACAGGCCTGGCTAAGCAGCACCCACCAGCGAGGTCAGCGAAAAGAAAGCCCGACATAGCAACAAAAACTTTACAAGTGCTGCTGCTCCCCAGCCTGAGGAAAACAAAAGATATGCTGAGCTGTGTAAGGCGTGTCCTCGTGAGAGTTCGCCTTCCGATTCTCCGCCCGTTTCTGAAGCATCTCCGCCTGTAAGAAGCTGCACTTCACAAGGGTCCGAGCAGTCCAAAACAGCCCCAAACCCGGACACCACACGTTCTACTACTCCATACTACTCCTCAAGATGTTATGAAAAGCGACCCACAAGACCCCACTTCGGCCGTGAAACGTACTTTGCCCGCAATTTCAAGGAAGGATCATGTTACCTGACACAATGCTGCTGAAGCTGAAGCTGAAGCCATGCAAGAGATCCCTTAGTTGGGGAGGCATCCCCTGGTTTCTCATTCCCAGCCTGACTCTTGGCGTCGGGCTCCGGGTGGAACTCTCCTTGGCTGTTGGACTCTTCGCAGTCTTGGCGGAGACAAAAAAAGAAGCCTGGCTCTTCTGGGGTCCATCTGACATGTCTCGGTGCTTGAGTTGGTGAGCTTGTTTCTGGACGACGCCCTTGAGAATGTCTTGGACCTCCTGGCAAGATGCATCGATTCCAACTTGACAGTTGGCTGCATGCTAGGATGCTCACGCAAGATCTGCTGTTGGGGGTCCCCCTATGTCCCCCTCCTGCATGTGCGCAGCAGGGTCCGTCTGCAGAAGTGTTACCTGGCTGTCCTTGTGGTCGGCGTCCAGGTGCTCCTGGGGTGGAGAGCTTCATCTGGTGGGTGGGAATATGCCATGATGTGACAGGGATCTGCAAAAGCTCCTTGACGGTCTTCTCGAGGGACACGATCTTAGCTTGCTGCAATTCACAGAGCGTCTCGAGCTGTGTGACCTTCAGCATCAAGAACTCGAGGGTCCTGCATGAAGGTGGGGTGCACAGTCACTATGGTGGACATTGTGGGAAACATGGGTGTCGCCCCCCTTTCGTAGCGGTTCAGATCATTGATGATCATTTGCAAAAACCGGGAGTGAAAGCAGAGTTCTCTCGCACATGCAAAGGGGCGGCTCCTTCCCAAGCCACCCAACCCTTCGGCGTCGGTTTCATTCGCATTCTCACCCGTCTCGTTCGCATTCTCACCCGTCTCGTTTTCACGGGTCTTGTTCAATGCCGGATCAGGGATCGAGTTCATTTGCTTGATGTCGTAAGCCATGTTGTCGGCGATGGCTTTGTTCGCGAGCTGGGTCACCGTCGAGTTGTTCGAATTGATCATCTCGATCGGGAAATCGCCGGTCTTGAATGCCATCGCAGTTGTCAGCCATCCCATCCAAGCTGTCATTAAAAACAAGGAGCGCAAGCGCCCTGGCCGTGGCCCAGGCATCGCAGCCAAAGGCTCGCTTGCACGGCCGATGAGCTCGGGAAAAAACCTCCACGGAGCTCGATTGCTACGTTGAAGATGAAAACGAAGATGAACTAAAAACAGCTGAGATCAACATGCTGCGGTCCACTCGAAGGGTCACGGTGCCACATGCCAAGGCTGTGCATGCAATCTCGCCAAGACCTGCTAGTAACACCTGGCTGCCTCTCCGGTGCTTCTGGCTGCTGAATGTGCATGGTTTCGGCCTACCCTAACATACTATAAACCCTAAACCCTATATAACGAATATTTTGAGGCCTACACCCTAAATAGTATTCTAAACCCTAAACCCTATAATATTCTGACCCCTAAACCCTACAAGATTAAATACCCTAAACCCTAAAATATGAAAAACCTAAGCCCTCTAGTTTTCCCATGATGTAGCACAGGGGCGTAAAGAACTAGGAATGTTATCCCTTGAGGCCCGAATTTTCGTATACCAGAAAACAAGCATATTAACATACCCAAAATCTTGCTGTTGAGGCCCCTATCATTCTCTTCAAGCTTCACCCTAAACCCACCCTAACCCCTTCCCCCTCCCCCCCGAAGCAGCCGATGCTTTCACTCGCTGCTTGCAGGAAGGGTTCAGCGTCGCTCGCTTGGGGGTTCAGGCGTAAGCTTAGGGTTTCGGGAAACCCTAAACACATAAACCCTATAAACTTGCGCCGGAGCACAAGGCGGCGTAGTAGTCCTGGGCCTGGGCCATCCCCGAGATGGGGCGGATCCGGGACATGCCAAAAACTTTAGTGCCCTCAGTGCCCTCAGGAATTTTCTTTTTTTGGACTGCGCGAGGCACTGTGTCGTGCCCATCGGCACCGGCGTGTGAGAAACCTATTCCTTCTGTAAAAAGGCCGATATTACAGACTAAATAAACAATATAGCACAAAAGAACGAAGATTAAAACGGCCATCGTCAGAAGTGCAGGTGAAGCCGCATCGAAAGAAAGGCAGCTTTCAGGGTCTTAGGTTTCTGGAACCAGGAGTTAGCATGGACTTTAGTTACTGGTCTAGGAGGCTTGTGTAGAACTTGACACCAAACAGAACGTTCATGAGCAGCTTTGGTGACTTGCCTGCACAAGAGGGTGTTGTCCATGTGGACCAAGGAGGCGGAAGGGCTGTGTCGGACATTGTCCGCCGACGGAATTGAAAAGAAGTTCTGAGTAAGGTCGGTGTGCGCTGGAGCTGCATCCGACTCGAGGTGGGAGGGGCGGGAGGATGCCTCAGTCATGCATGATTCGCTCCAGTGATCTCGGGGTCGGCCCCGTCTGTTGCGGCCTGTGACATGACGATATGCCGTGGCGGCCTGGAAGGTGGAAGCATATTCAAGTGAATCCCGGTGTCTTAGGAGATGTCCAAACAATTGCAATCGCTGATGGGAATAAAGCTGAGAGGGCGGTTGAACCCGTCGTGAGGAAAAAGCAAGATCCGCGAGGTACTGGTTGGAACAATCTGCCTGCCTCCGTAGGCTCTATAACCCGATGGTAAAAGGAGGATTTAACTTTAAAGATTCTTCTGACCTGTTTGTAGTAAATAGAATCGAGATGTATTAGCTGGGCTGGGGAGAGCTGTACACTTTCCATGGAGGACATAAGTATTGACTGTATTATTGATCTATAGACGAGAAGCTTCCAGGATGGAGGTAGGCACGAGTGAGACATCAGAGGTTTGAGCTTTTTGGCGGCAGAAACTGCCTGCGAGATGCGGTAACGTAGATGTTTATCATTGGAGCAACTATCATCCAAATACGCTCCCAGGTATTTTACCTCAGAAGCTAGAGGTATGGGCGAACCTTGTTGTATGTTTCCACCACATTGCGGGCATGAACATAGTTGACTGGGATCGAGCGCATAATGAACGTGCTGCTGCGAGTTAAGATGGAGATGTTCGCATTTGTCTTCATGAAGGTGGAGGCCTCTTTGAGCACCCTAATACTGCACAAGGTGAAGGAGGCGATCTAATTATGAGGCAGAGCAGGAGAGTAGAACAGTGTCATCTGCATACTCTAAATCCCATAGAGGATGGGGGACTTGGAAGACTCCTGCTATTTGTCCGTATAGTTCCTGATATTTGGACTCCTCGTCCGCGAACAGATGGGTCAGCACAAAACTAAACAAGTAAGGAGAAAGCGGACATCCCTGCCGAAGCCCTTTGGTTTGAGTGAAGGTGGATGAGCGTTGAGAAGAATCCCAGGAAGTCTGGCCGAACACCTCAAGGAGGCGACGGAGCACATGGATTGGCTGAGAAGTAGACCGACGTTTGCGAAAACCAAATTGGGTAGAGCGGAGGCGACTATCCATGTATTGCTCAAGCCTGGATTGTTTCATTGACGCGAAGATTTTGTATGAAATATTGGTGAGTGAGACAGGTCGATAGTTGGAAAGGAGCCGGGTACCTTTATTGTGATCTTGCACCAACATAACTACTTCCGAAAAGAGCCAACTCGAGGGTCGGTACATGTTTCAAAGCGCTGATTATAGTGATCCAGGAGATACATTTTGAGTATATATGGAGCATGACGATAGAGTTCGCCAGGGAGAGCATTGGGACCGGGGGATTTTCCGGGTTTAAGTTTTCGCAAGGCTATATCCAGGTCAGTCATGGTGAACGGGCGATCCATGGGGTATATCGTGCTGCTGTGGGTATAATTGGGTCAGAAGAGGAGAACCAAACCTTTTGGGCTAGAGAATCAGCGAAGGTAGAGGCACGCTTGTCTTTAGACACAAGAGAGCCCGATCTGTCAAAGAGGCCAGTGGTACGTGGACGGACTTCGGATTTGATCTGCCGGGTATGGCGCCACTGGTTAACACTCCTACCATGGAAACCCGTATACAGATTATTGGAAATAGACAGCTTGTTATCGTTGCGAGCACTCTTTTTGACACGCTTACAGTCGCGCTTCAGCTGGGAAAGGTCTGTATACTGGGTCTGCTGAAACGTCTTCATTTAAGAGAGTATGCGTCGATATCCAAGGCTTTTTCGCGGCAAGAGGAAGGCAAGGTATGAGTGGTAGCGATTGGGTCATGGGCTTAGTGAACTATATCCCATATCCGGAGGAGATAGACTGGCAGCTGGAGTAACACTGAACCTGCCCCCAACGTCGAGCGGGTGTAGATGCCTTGTTTGGCCGGTCTATCCGCAACTTCATTTCCGGGAACGCCAACATGGGATGGGATCTTTCGTACATCAACGTGATACTGTGTGCGAAGAGCAACGAAATATTGTTGCGCAAGGTGGGTGTGAAACTGGAATATAGAACTGCCCAGTAGGAGATCACGGGCGTATTGGGAATCAGTATAGACTATGAGCGGGAGCCTCTAGGGCAGTTGGAGTAACACAGGAGATAATCAAATAACTCCACAAAGCCCATTAACTCTCCAGTATTATTAGACCCAACCAAAAGTTCATCCGAAATTGGGGAGTTAGATTTTACTGTCCCACAGGAGGGAGTCCATCGAGAATCCAAAAGGTGGTGAGAACAAAGCCCCAACCTGCAGGATTATCAAAGAAGACCTATTTGGGCATGAGCCATCAGTATATGCAATGTAGTCGGACGTGTGGATAACTGGGTTTCAGCATTCAAGAGCAAGACTTCTAACTTGTGAAGTCTTTCCAAGAAGGCCCATCGCGTGTTTTTGGGGGGAGACGCTAAGTACAGATATTAAAGTGTAAACTAAATGTCTAGAATTTGTAATCTGTTGAAAGATAGAGCCCTTAAAGAAGATCTCACGGCGTACAGATGGGGGAACCATCACATAATAAATGGCTGTCCATTGACCCACATTAGTAGATTCAAGGAGATGGTCCTGACATGTCATTTCTTTAAGGAACGGGAGATTGTTTAAAGTAAAATGGGGTCAAAGAAAGGCATGGAGAAAGTTATACAAGTAGACAGCCTCTCTCTTAAGTAGACACCTTTTTGACCCTCTGGAGACTATCCAGAGCCAGAATGAATCATATTGAATTCCTGCACTTCTGACGCTGAAAAAACCAATCTCGAAACAGAGATGAAGCAGCAAGGCCACAGGCTCAAAACAAATTTGCCCTATAGGCCAAAAAAAGTGTTCGCAGAAGGAATCGCCCAGAAATGCCCTCCTGGAGCTTCGGGGGTTATCCGGGCGCCCTCCTTTTTGCACCCCGAAGCTCCAACACGACATTACTGGGCGATTTTTTCGACGGATCGCTCCACTTTTTATGGCCTTGAAGGGCAAATTTGCTTTGGGTCTGTGGTCTTGCTGCTCCATCTCTGTTTCGAGATTGGTTTTTTCAGCGTCAGAAGTGCAGGAATTCGATATGATTCATTCTGGCTCTGGATAGTCTCTGGAGGGTCAAAAAGGTGTCTACTTAAGAGAGAGCATGGCCGTGCCGGCCTATTTTGACAAATTGACAGAATTGACATTTTCCATCCAAAGCGTCAATTGTTAAAATGGATCTACACGTTCTGTGGGCTTTAAAAGGAACAGAAATTGACACAATTGACAAAATTGACCACAAAATTGGCTGAGCAATAAAAATTGATTTTTTTTATCTGTGTAAAAATGCATTCCAAGAACAGCTGAGGAGAGCACCCGATCAACGTGCAAGAGAGACTCAATGCGCCGCAAGCTCTCAGAAAATTTGACGCGTCAATTTTGTCAATTTTGTCAAATCTTGCATTTTGGAAGGCCCATGGCTGTGGACGCATTTCAGCGCTTGACAGTTTTGCTCAAAAAATGTCAATGCGTCAAGACCCCCTTTCGACGTGCAAGAGAGACTCAATGCGCCGCAAGCTCTTAAGAAAATTTGGCGCGTCAATTTTGTCAATTTTGTCCAATCTTGCCTTTTACAAGAGCTACGACCCCTGTGGGTGCATTATGGCACTTGACAATTTTGTCAAATGTGTCAATTCTGTCAACAGTGTTAACTTGCTGTGCTCTGGTGGGTCAAAAAAAAAGGTGTCTAACATCAGAGAGAGTCCATGCATCCTCT